CTCTCTCTCTCTCTCTCTCTCTCTCTCTCTCTCTCTCTCTCTCTCTCTCTTTCTTCTTTCTGTGCTGGAGATCCAGCCCAGGGTCTTGCACACTGGGCAAAGCTCTCTGCCTTGTTCTTACTCGTCCAGGCCTGATGATGGTTTCCCCCAATGCCCTGGCCCGCAGTCATGCCCTATTTCTGTCTCATTGCCTATGCCCTTTGCATTTCCTTGGCCAGCCATGTGCCATTTGTGTCCAAGCTCAGACTTTTCTTGTAATCCAGTGCTGACAGATCAGCTCAAGCTGTCCGGGCCTACTCAGGTTACCCAGCACTCCCATGCAGGACAGGTTTAGACTGTTTCCCGGCGCCCCTTAGACCCTTCCCATGGCATCCCAGAGCTTTGGTCCTTCCTTATCTTCCACCCCCACACAATCCCTTTGCTCCTGACATGCTGGGCCCATGCCAGCTTCCAAATGTGTCTAACATGTTCCTGTCCCTCTGTGCATGGCCTTGTTCCTTGTGTTGGAAATGCCTTTGCCCAGTCTCCAGAGAATGAAATCCTACCCATTCCGGCTACAAATTCTCCATGAAGCTGGCTCTGCTCCTGCCAGCAGCCAATCATTTCCCGCGCCTCCTCCCCGCCCCCACTCCACTTACTTCCCCAGGCTCACTTCTTGCCTAGTGACTGGGGCTCCTCTAGCCTGTAGGATCCTTCAGTTTAGGGGCAGTCCTATGATTGGCTCAGCTGGAGTCATTTGCTCCACTCCTGTGCAGAACACATGCATTGAGGTTAGAGGATCAGCAGAGGATCCCCAAAGAGATGCTGGGTGAATCAAAACAGAACCACGTCTAATGCGGTGGATGGGACGATGCTTTCCCATAAGGCCTGAGTAAAAGCATTGTTTCATTTTGTTAACTTTCTTTTTCATTGCTGCAGATCCAACACAGAGTCTCATGAATGCTAGGCAAGTGTTCTACTTTGAGCTAGGACCCTAACCCTTATTAAGTTCTTTGATTTAATTCACTTGTTCAACCAAAAAAAAAAAAAAAAAAAAAGGTAGAGTGAGCCAAACACAACTCAGTCTTTAACCTAGGGAGACAGTGACATTAATCAGAGCATTACACAAACAGATCTAGACGTACAGCAAACGTCAAATGAAAACCTGGAATGCAAAGATGGAGTCTCTCGAAAGGGTTTGCACTTCCTAGTGTCAATGACCATGACCAGGACAAGGTTTTTTACTTCATAATTAGGATGTTCCTTTAAATTCACATGTTCCAGGTGAGCTACTTTTGGACTTAATTTACACGGACGTGTAAACAAAGGTGTAAAGCCACTCTCTCTTCCTACCACTTTGAAAGAAGATAAATCCCACAAATGGAGATGTGTACACCT